ATTCCTTACCCAAAATAGGTGTCCTCAAAGAACAGTAAAGATTGATTGGAGCATACTTTCATATCTTGTTCTCCAACTTATGGTCCCAAATCTAGCAATTTCACTTGGCAGTTTCGGGTGGAGCTTCGCTTAAAGTGGAGGGCCCTGAACCGCCACGGGAATGCAAATTTCGGGTAAGTACCCTCCTTCTTTGAAAACAGTGGCTCGTGTCAAAAGTCTCTCCCGCATGGCCCCCGCAGCAACAGGGCGGGCTTGGGTGGCTTGTTCCGACCCCTAGCCAGGTTCCCGAGGGCGGTGTCCTGCGTCGGTATGAGCCAACCCGCCAGCCTCCGCCGCAAGGCTCGGAAGCTGAGTTGCGCGCTCTCCCGGCCCTTCCTGCTGGTGCTGAGATGCGAGCGAGTGTCCCAGAAAGGAGTTATTCGAGTGGGTCGTTCGACTTTGAGGGGAATGAAATTCCAGTTCTCATTTTTATCCTGCTTTATCTCCCTGCTGGGATCCTACTGCTGGAGTTATCCCCTTGGAGATGAGCCACCAACGCCGCTGGTCCTACGATGTTGCCCGCCCCCCCACGGATGCCCAAACAAGGACAGAATCGAGAAGTAGAGAGGAAACGGGGAAAGAAAAAAGCGGGTGTTTCAAACTGGTCGCGGTGGTGCAGACGCGGCGGTGGAGCTGGAGCAGCCGGGCGGGGAGTCGGGCCCAGGCCCCGGGCTCCGCCCGCCGGGGGGCGCCCGGGCGGCGGGCGCCTGCGCGGTGCGGCCCCAGCCCGGGCAGCCACCGTCGCGATGCCTATTTTAGTCAAAGCCGCTGCCGGCTCGGGGACCCGGCACCACCCAAGGAGGCTCCCGAACCGCGATCCGCTGAGGTTTTCGCCTCGGGCGCCCGTCGAGCTGCCGCGTCGCTGTCCCCGCGCCCTGCCACTGTCGCCCCAAACTTTGGCCAGCACCGCCCAGGTTCGGTGCCAGGGACAAGCCAGGTAAGGAGCGGGAGGCGTAGCTGCCGGCGGCTCCCCCCGCGCGCCCGTCTATTTGCAGCCTCGGGCTCCCGGGGCTAAATCGGGAAGCAAAGTTGGACCGCTGCTCCGCTGGGAACAACTTTGTCAGCCCCCGAGGCTGCTGCGGGTTCTCCGCTCCCGGGCCGCCAGGAGCCGTGCCCTCTCCTCCCTGGTCGAGCCCTCGCGGGGTTCCCTGTTCTTGGAAGCCGCCTTTCTCCCGCGTCTGGGGTCCATCGCCACTTACCCTCAGGTGTCAGCTGTTGCAACACGGGTCTGGCTGCGCCAGCCCCCCCGGGCGCTCCAGCCCCCTCGGGTGCCGATTCCCGCGCTCTGCCTCGGGCAAGCCATTGGTGAGCTCGGCATCTCCTCCTCTGGCTGGACGCCCGGGGTTCCCGGCTCCTAACCTACTATAGGCTCCTCCTCGCCCGTTGTAGGGCCGCCGGGTCTCCTGCGGAGGCTGTGTGGCCTGCCCCGGCCGGGCGCTGGGATGGCCAGGTGGGGCACGGCGCTTACTGCACACCCCTCGTGGCCCGAACGTTGGAGTCAAGAGGAACAGTAGACACTGATTCTCCTTTAAAGAGCGAGGTGAACGGGTTCCCTGGGGAGAACCGATGGCTGGGGAACCCGTGAACCTCACCACCCGCCCGCGCCCTGGTTTCTGAGGCATTGGAAACGTGTTGTAGGCCAGACACGTCCCAGAAACTGCTTGCTTTGAAGCAAGAATAAGTGCGAAAAGACTCTTGGCAACGTAATACCCTTTGCCATTCCACGGATGTACAAAGGTTCAGTTCGATTTACAGAATGAATCAAGTCTGCCAGCACGACTTTTGCTCATTGCTGCCTTTTCATTTTTGTAGTTTGATGAAGGGTTAATGTTAGTTTCACCATGTAGCTATTTAATCCTACAGACACCTATTTGGAAAGCGATAGATAAAACAGGACTTTACCAGAGCAGGTAATTAAAAGAATTAGACTCTGAAGAACTAATAGGAGAAAGAAAATTTCTCTTGATTCAGTCAAAATTAACCTGAAAGTTTAGCAGTTTTTCAGTCTAGCCTTCCTCCTTAGATTCATTGTGGGTATAAGGATAGTTCAGTGTAAACGACTTAAATCCATTAAAAGTGATCAAAGGGAGCCGAAACTAGTAAAATCCAGTCAATATTATTGACAATAGGGAACGGCATTTCAAAACTGACATAGAGATAAATACACATAGATAAATAATAGATATACAAATAAATAATAAATTATGTAATAAATGTATTATACAATGTTAGCTATTCTACAAGCTATAATACATATAGAAAATAAAATAAATATGTATATAAATATCTATATCTTTAATAAGGTGTGGTGCATCAATATGTTGTAGGATGATCCTACCTTTTAAAAATTCCTATTGCTGGGGCGCCTGGGTGGCTCAGTCGTTAAGCGTCTGCCTTCGGCTCAGGTCATGATCCCACGGTCCTGGGATTCAGCCCTGCATCGGTCTCCCTGCTCCAAGGGAGACCTGCTTCTCCCTCTCCCACTCCCCCTGCTTGTGTTCCCTCTCTCGCTGTGTTTCTCTGTCAAATAAATAAATAAAATCTTAAAAAAAAAATTCCTATTGCTATTTCCCTGGTTCTTGTGTCAGTAGATCATAGTTTTCCTATCATTTCTCTTGGAGCAGAAGTTGGTACCTTTAGTGCCACTTGAAGAACTTTTAAGAGCCTGAAACTGAGCTAGAGTGGATTAGTTGGTAATACAGGTGTAACTGGGTGGATATGAAGGGGAATATGTATTGACTAACTTATTATATAAATGTGTATTAGAGCCTCAGGCTATTAAAACTTGAAGGGGTTTCAAAGACCATCTAGTCCAGCTACCTCTATTCCCAGGAAGAAGCCGACCCAAGGAGCGGAAGTGACTTTCCTTAACTTATGTGGCTCCCCAGGGCTTTTGGTATAGAACTTGACTTTCTTAGTCCGAGCAACGCTGGGCGCTTTCCTGTCTTTACTACTGAGGTTTGGGGAGACTGAAAGTGATTTCTAAAAATGTTTGTCATGTCTGTGTCCCTTCTGTATGGCTTTCACCTCTGGCATTCTCTGCAGAGTCTAGGCCTTGGGTATACATAGATGAATATGACATCGCCTCTGCCTCATAGAGAACACAGGATAGTTAGAAAAGCAAATAGGACAATGGAAGTAGAAGCACATTCTAAAGTGCCATAGAAATGTAGTTATCATTAGTTTAGGTAATGCTAATGCATAAGCTGACATTGACACTAGTTTGTGAGTGATAGAGGACCTTGAATATCATTCTCCCTCCTGCAGAAATGATAGGATTAACTCTCATTTGGTCCTTGAAAGCAAACTTTATAAATGGAATTATTCAAATAATGATACCTCTCACCCCAATAGGCTTATATTTTTATTGATTTAAACATTTGGAAAGTAGTTGGATTTATGTAGTTTCTTTCCTTTTTGCAGAAAATCAATATCTAAGTCAACTATCTTTGAACTATTTCAGAATTATATGAAGAGATCTTTAATTGACTCAATCATTTCATCAAGTTTGTAATGCATGGACTTTTTTTATCATCTTAAGAGATGTAGAATTCTTTCAGATTTGTCTAATAACATCCTTTCAGGGCGCCTGGGTGGCTCAGTTGGTTAAGCGACTGCCTTCGGCTCAGGTCATGATCCTGGAGTCCGTGGATCGAGTCCCGCATCGGGCTCCCCGCTCAGCGGGGAGTCTGCTTCTCCCTCTGACCCTCCCCCCTCTCATGTGCTCTCTCTCTCTCATTCTCTCTGTCTCAAATAAATAAATAAAATCTTTAAAAAAAAATAACATCCTTTCAAAATGCCCAATCTGTACCAACTATTCTACCACCTAAAACCTTTACTTTGATGTGATTAAAAAAAAAATGAATGGAAAAATAAGGTTAATTGTGTGACCTTTTGATGGAAAGACATATTATTAGATTAAATTTAAAGATTTTTTTGGTCCCCATGTGGAATTTTTTTTCTGAAATGGAATAATTCATATAATCTGTAAACCTACATGGTTTTTTTTGGTCAGAGACCAATTTGTATAATTAATAATAGAAAGAGTTTTTTAAGAACCAGAGATAGAGGACAGGTAATTTCGTTAGGAAATGGTGCCACTTTGTGTTAAGGTTTAGGTAAGCATGTGCAAAATGTGTACTCTTTGAAATGTATTTGCTATAGATTTTAATATTACATAGTTGAATGTATATTCATTACCTCTCCTACATATAAGTAAACCACAAGTTTACTACTTTTTAATTCGTAACATGCTACCTAGTAGAGTTTTTATGGGAAAGAAAGTAGAGATTTAAATCGGACAATGGAAGGAAGAGTAAATTTTGTATCTCTGTGTATATATAAATGATTAGTAATGCATTTATTATGTGTATATATGATAATATAAAATGTATATATATGATACAATGATTTAATGACAGTATATAAATAAAGCCTTCTAAATATCCTAAGCCTTCAAATAGTAAATATGAGAGGGTTAATTTTTTTGAAAGTACTTAAAAAATCAGTTTCTCCAATCCTTTTTTCTGTGTTTGCATTCAGTGTCATAGTGAGAATGTGATGGAAGACTTTGTAATTGCTGTGGTTTATGAACATTGGTGATTGTCGTTTAGACTAGTTAATTTCTCGTTCCTCTTTCCCCCACCATGGATGTTTATTTACAGATATATGTATCAGCGAATAGTTGTGCACTATGCTAAATATTTTATATATTTCATTTCATTTCATTAGAAAGTCAAATGAGGTATTACTATCATCATTTAACAGATAAAGTAATAACAACTTAATATGTGACTGGTAGGGTTCAAACCTGGGTCTAATTCATGAGCACCAGAAAAGTCTATCTACCAAAATTTAGTTCAAAGAAGTCATTTTGATACAATACCTATAGGGGTAGTAAGATACAGCTACCATTTTTATGATTGTTCTCTTGTTTCTTTGTTTTTACAGGGATTTTCAAGATGAATTATACCGAGTCCAGCCCATTGACAGAATCAACTGCAATAGATTTTACACCTGAGTTAGAAAGTATCATACCTGTGCCTTCCAATGAGACCACATGTCAAAACTGGAGAGAGATACATCACCTAGTTTTTCATGTAGCAAATATTTTTTTCACAATTGGGTTGGTTATTCCAACTACTCTTCACCTTCATATGATACTCCTTAGGGGAATGTTAACTATAGGTAAGAATACCTACCTAATCAAGACGTTTGTAACTTCTCTGGTACTGGCACCAGATGGGCTTGTGTTGGGGGCTTCAGGGCATTTCTATAGGGCAGGTCTATAGCATACCAAAAATATAGGTCTCTGTTGGCAAATTAGCAGTACGTGTATCAGGTAACTTGCAACGTAGGCCTTTACATGCCCTTATTTATTTTAGATAAGACTGTGTGTGTTTTCTTTTTTTTTTTTTTAAGATTTTATTTATTTATTTGACAGAGAGAGACAGCCAGAGAGGGAACACAAGCAGGGTAAGTGGGAGAGAGAGAAGCAGGCTTCCCACCGAGCAGGGAGCCCGATGCGGGGCTCAATCCCAGGACCCTGGGATCATGACCTGAGCCGAAGACAGACGCTTAACGACTGAGCCAACCAGGCGCCCCATGATTGTGTGTGTTTTCTATATTGTTTAGATTTTCCAGATATCAAAAACTCCATTTGTATGTAGGAGTGTGTGATCCAAATCCTGGTTCCACCACTTGCTAACTGTGTACCTGGGGCAGGGGATCGAACCTTTCTACCCCTTAGTTTTCCCACGTGTCAAATAAGGGTTAAGATAATACCACCTCCTAGGGTTGTTGTAAGAATTAAATGAGAGTGTGTGTGTGTGTGTGTATGCACATGTGTATGTATGATATTTGACTTCTAATAGTGCCTGGCACATAGTAAGTACTATCCAGTCTTAACCACTATTATTTGAATAGGCATTTCTTATGGCCTATAATGCGACACTGGGAACAAAAGCAATTTCCCAGACAGCATAGTTCAAATAAAACTTTTTTGAGGGCTCCAGTAATCCTGATGAAGCAGGTTAAATTGATTCACATCAAAATGCCAAAACAATTGAATGAATTATTTTAGCCACTGATTCTTGACAAATTACGCTCTATGTGATTGTTTCTTTGGTGATTTATTTATTCAGGTGCATTTTTGAGCACCTATAATTTGTCAGGCAAAGACTGAAGAAGGCAGTGTCCATCTTTGAAAAAGATACTTTTGGGGGGGCTGGAGAGAAACAGATGGGCAGTCACACGTGAGGTGTTGGATGCTGTGATGCAGGTGTGCACCCAGGGCCAGAGAGAAATAGAGAGGGTAATAGGCTCAGCAGGAAGGCAGAACAAGGTCACACTGAGGAGATGACATTGGAGCTGGCTTTTGGAAGCTGAACAGGATTTCTCTGCATGTGAGTGTGTGTGGTATCCAGGTAAAAGGCACAGAGGAGAGGGAAATTCAGCACATTGAGGGAGAATGAAGAGTGGCCCATTATGTCTGGAACACATGAAAAATGACAAGGAATGTTCAAAGTGAAGCCTGGAAGTGAGAGACAGGCTTCCAGTTATGGAATGAATAAGTTATGGGAATAAAAGGCACAGCGTAGGGAATATAGTCAATGATACTGTAATAGTGTATGGTGACAGACGGTAGCTACGGTAGCTACGTTTGTGGTGAGCAGAGCATAATGTATTGAGATATTGAATCACTATGTTGTCCACCTGAAACTAATGTAACATTATGCATCAACTATACTCAAAATGAATAAACAGTAGATAGATAGGTAGATAGATAGATAGACTAGGAAGGGGCTGGAAGGGAAGATACAAGGCAGCTTGTGGGACTTCTGTGTTACCTCTGAGTCAGGTAGGGATTGCAGCAGGCATTACAGTGTAGAATGAAAAACAAAACAAACCTACACCCTATAAAAAGGCAAAGGCTAATTATAAATTTTTCAAGATTTTATTTATTTATTTGAAAGAGAGAGAGTGGGGGCATACACAGGAGCAGGGGAGGGGGAGGGGCAGAGACAGAGGGAGAAGCAGACTCCCCATTGAGCAGGGAGCTCAAGGCAGGGCTTGATCCCGGGTGCCAGGATCATGACCTGAGCCAAAGGCAGACGGCCTAACCGACTGAGCCACCCAGGCCCGCTGCTAATTATAAATTTTAAGACACAGTTTTAGAGGCAGGACAGACCAAAGAGCTCATCTAATCCGACCAAGAAGAAACCTGGAGAAGTTAAATGACTCATCCAAAATTAAGATGGAGAGAATGTGGCCAAACCAGGACTATAATTCATGTCCTCATGTTCCCAGTCAGTTGAAGCATTATTTTTCCCCTGTCTTCTTTAAGTAATACTATTTTAAAATTCAAAAGAATTTGCTATGAAATATTATTTTAAAAACTTATAATAAAGTTTTAGATTTTGGTCTGCTCAGATGCCCCAGATCATTCTGATGAAATAAAAATTGCAAATGGATAACTTTTTAATGTGGGAGGTTAGCTTTTATGTGCAAGTATGCTGTTGATATATTTGTATCATATTGATCATTTTATTTTAAATTAAAAGTGTATATTGACTCTCCCACCAAAAATGTATCAAAAAGAACTGGGATATTTTTCCTAAAGTGAGAGAATTGATAAAAAGCAAGATTTCCATAGGTGGGTGGAAAATCATCAAATGAAAAATTCAGATGGCTTAGAAAACTTTGGTAAAATATTCGGGTTCACCAATAATCATGGAAATGCAAAATAAAATAAAACACATAATTCCTCAGTATCAAATTAAGAGTTTTCAAATTTTGTAATATTAACAACTTGATAGTGGCATTCCCAACTAGTAGGATTACAAATAATCTATATACCTTTGGGAAACAATTCTTCAGTCTCATCAAAGCTATAAAGTTCATTTCCTTGACTTACTGTCAGGTAATCCACCCTAAGGAAATAGTCAGAAAAACATTAATTCTTAATGTATAAAGATGTTTTGGCGATGTATCAGAAATTTACACCCAAAAAATCTCATCTGTTTACCAGTTGGGAAATGGTTAGATAAATTAGGGCTTAATCAGTTACAGTCATTAAAAACTATGTATATGAAGAATTTTAACAATATGGGGAAATTACCACAATAAGTAAAATAAGTAAAAGTGGGTTTTAAAAGTTTTATATACTGTAGATTTGCCATCAGGTAAAAATACATCAAGACAGTAAGGAAGTATTAAATATCAACAGTGGTTTTCGTTAAGTGGTAGAATTATGGGTTTTTTTTTTCCCCTTTAAAAAATATTTTCTATGTAAATTTTCTGCAACAAAGCACATTTTTCTTTTGTGGTAATGAGACAAAAAACAAAATGGAACTTACTGTGATGTTTGGCTTAGGTATTTCTTTTTTTCTTTTTTTTAAGAGAGAGAGAGAGAAAGGGAGTGTGCACTTGCACAAGCAGGGGGAGAGGCAGAGGGAGAGATAGAGAGAATCCCACTCGAGTTCTATGGGGTGCGGGGGTGGGAGAGGGGAAGTGCAGGAGTCGGGGAGGGGAGTGGGGGGTTTGGGGCCAGAGCCAAAATCAAGAGTCTGATGCTTAATCAACTGAGCCACATAGGTGCCCCTGGCTTAAGTATTTCTAAAATGTGTTTGGGGTTTGTTTGTTTTTTTTATATATATACAGAGAATAACAAATTTATTAAGCTACATGCTGACGCTATTCCAGACATCTAACACGTTGACTTTGTTATTCAACAGGATGCACCTTTTATATTGTCTGGGCCACTCTCTACCGATGTGCCTTGGATATCATGATCTGGAACTCTGTGTTCCTGGGTGTCAACATTTTGCATCTGTCATATCTTTTGTACAAGAAAAGACCGGTAATTACTAAAATTCATTAATAAGGAAGAGATTTTAAAGTCAAAAAAAACTTTTAAAGTGCTTTGTTCAGACTTGAGAATGAACATCTAACATCTTTAGTCCCTTTAATTTCATTTCTCTAATTTTGTTTACATATGTCTAAAAGCGAAATATTTGAACACCATGACCTTTGTTCTACAAATAAGTCTTTTTTAAAGATGCATTTATTTATTTTAGAGAGAGAGTGCAGGCGGGAGGGGCAGAGGGAGAGGGAGAGTGAGTCTTAGGCGGACTCCACACTCAGCACAGAGCCCACGCAGGACTCCATCCCACAACCCTGAGAGCAAGACATGAGCCGAATCCAAGAGTCGGGCGTTCAACCGACTGTGCCACCCAGAACCCCCTACAAATGAGTTTTTTAAACTTTTTACATCATTAAGGCAATTTAGACATGAGGACATTTTTCGTCGTAGAACTTCATTATTTCTTTTGTCTATTGATATTTAAACGTCACTTGGAAATATCTTTGCCCAGCAGTAAAATTAATTACTCACAGGCAACTTCCTTGAACATACTAATGATTTACAAATAGTTCCTGCTGTTTTGTAAATGTAATGACTTTATTTTTTTCTCATTATGCCCAAAATATTCATTTAAGGAAATCGTCATTTTGGGAGGGTGTTGCCAAAACATTAGTATTTAACTTTTTTTTTCAACTCTGATTTATCTTTTTGTGTTTCTGGTCATTCTAAGACCAAAAAGATGTAAATAGGATAAGAAAGCAGTGTGACTTCTAGAAATCCTTCCCCACATTGTTTACTAATGGTTCAAAGTACACACAATTATTCAATAAGGTAAAAGATACAGCACTTGTCCTCATCTTATATTCAAAGCCAGACATGTGCACAGAAAACTATGAGAAAACAAGACATTTCACAGGAAACGATAATTTGAATGATATAAATGATACACGTAATAGGCATTCTACTAGACTGTAACGTCCTCAAACGTTGCCACCCAGTCTGTTTTGCTTACTGTATTAGTTTTCTCTAGGTTACCCCGTGTAATAAACAACCTGAAAATCTCAGTGACAAATAACAGTGACAGGCCCTTTTTCTCACCCACCTTATAGGTGGGCTCTAGCAACTGTGTGTCAACTGTGATTCTGTGCTGTGTCTTCATTTCAGGGTCTCTGCTGAAGCAGCAGGTTCTGGTTAGACATGCATTCTCATGGCAGAGAAAAAAGTACAAGAGAACAAAAGAGAAAGACCTGGTGTCTCTTAAAACTTCTGCACAGAAGGAGCATACGTCACTTTTGCTCACATTCCATTGGCTAAAGCAAATGACATGGTCAAGCGTGATAGTGTGGGAATAGGCTGGGGTAAGGGGATGGATAATCCTTTTACAGGGGATGGTAGCAACAAATAGTTGGGAATGATAATATCATCTTCCACCTTACAGTTGTGCTCTGCGTTCCTGTCAACCGTGATTGTCATATAACAAGTGCTCAAAAAAATATTTGATGAGTGACTGCTTTCACAAGAAGAATTAAGAAGGCTTCATGAAGGAATTGGGACTTGAGCTAAGACTTGCAGAATGAGCAGATTATGAATTTGAGTCAATAGATCTTTCAGTTCCTGTGTTCATTACCAGGCCACATTGGCTAGTGTGTATCTTGAAAGTGGGACATATTTGTGAATAAACTCTTTTAAACACTCGTTACTAGCACTCTGAAGTAGAAGAGGTAGATGGTAGTAATAATGAGGATTATAATTTCTGAATATCAGAACTTGCTGGAACCCCAAGTTCTGAACATAAGGTTCAGAAGTTGCTGCTGTGATGATGGTAGTAGCATCAAGTAAAACACCCACACAGTATCTGTGCTTTTGTTTCTTCTCACATTATAAGCCTACTTTTTTGAAAAATATAAATGCTGGTTCTTTGTTAAAATGAAAGACAGCAAGAGCATTGCAAAGGCTATGGTGACGTCTGAGTGGTCATCATTATCTGGGTCTACAAGCTTTATGGTGTGACTGTCAGGGATTTCATTGGGATGGATGATCATTTGAACCCCAAAGTTCATTCACCTGCTATCCAGTTTTCCCAGACTAATGCTGGGCGCAAATACGGCGTGTGATCTTGGTCTTGTCTGACAGCAGAGGTGATTCAGCCATTTTGCTTTTCCATTCCTCCAGTAGCCAGACTTAATTCTGTGGGTTCTCATTCTACAGAGTATTTCACTTTAAGATGAAATTGCTGCAGAAACCCTTTTACCCTCTTCACTTGGCTTCAGAATAAATAAATCAGAAGCAATGATTGCAGCTGTGGATGTTTGTGTTCCTAAATTGATACAATAAATAACACTTAAAATAGGCAAATTTTTCCCAAGTTGATTCCGACTTTATGTATTTATTGTTTTGCGATAACATTGAAAAGGTCACGTAATTTCTTTCTGTGAAACAAAATTGTTATGCAGACAAAAATGTTCCGTGTTATTGATAGGAAATGCTAAGATTGGAAAGGTCTATGTTGTGGTTAACGTTCAAAATCTCCACAGCTGTTCTGCAGCGCATGGGAAGAGATGTGATCAATAGTGCAAATCTTTTCCATATGCTCTTGGAGTTGTTTAACTGCAAAAGTGCCCTTTGAGCATCTAAACTTCTGTCCCCACTTCCTGTCTGGGTACGAGTCCATTGACTGAAATGCAGAAGGGCCATGGTGCGTCTTGCAGATTTGTTTCTTCTCAAACCCGTATTGAGATGGCAGAAGCCAGTGTTTCGCTGTTGCTGTGTTATGGCAGCATCTGGTCATTGCTGCATTTCAGGTAAAGATTGAGAAGGAGCTCAGTGGCATCTACCGCCGATTGTTTGAACCACTCCGTGTGCCTCCAGATCTGTTCAGAAGATTAACCGGCCAGTTTTGTATGATCCAAACCTTAAAAAGGGGCCAGACGTATGCTGCAGAGGATAAAACCTCAGTTGACGACCGTCTGAGTATCCTCCTGAAGGGGAAGTAAGTGCTCTCTGGAAATTGAAATTCCCCGTTCGCCTTGAATCTTCTCACGTGCCCTGGGTAGGGAATGACTAGAAGAGAATGATACAGATCATCAGGTCACAGAGTTTGTTGAGGTGATGAAATCCCATGTTCCAACTGTATTTTCGAATACTACCAAGTTAACAGGTTAGAGTTACATAGAATTGACTACTCTGAATCTTGTGGATGTTAGGATTTCCACCTGTGAACATTTTGAACCTTTATTGACCCTTTTTTTAAAGTTAATGAGTCAACATTGAAGTAGGTTTAAGTTAGGCATTAAACTTCCAGAAGCTTGTGCATGTTTCACAGGTGATTTATTTTTGAATATCACAAAAACATAACTTCTAGGAATATTAGCCTTCTGAGGAGAGAGCCAGTATATACTGTTCTGACATAATTTTTAATACCAGCCCTTTCCTTCTCAAAAGTATCTGATTTTGAGCAATAAATTTATGGTCACTCTAGCTATATGAGCAGTGATAACCATTGGAAGGCACATGTCTCCTCAATAGTGGAACCTGTCTTTTTTTTTTCTTGTTGGTGAAATTTATACTGAAGTAAATATTTATGCTTTGAATTATGTTTGTCCTCTGTGGAGTCTTTAAAACTTTAGTACAAAATACCAACCCATTAGATTAAGGATCGTCATGTTATTTGTGGAAATATTATGTATTTATTAACATTAATTTCTGTTATCAGAATGAAGGTTTCCTATCGAGGACATTTTCTGCATAACATTTACCCCTGTGCCTTTATAGATTCTCCTGAATTTAGATCAACTCAGATGCACAAAGGTGAAAAATTCCAGGTATGTTTCATCATGATTTTCAGAAGATTGGAACTAGTTCATGTCTCATTTGATATGCAGAAGATATTAATAGAAAAGTGATTTATTGAAAAAAGAGATTACCATATGGTACATATAGCATGATCCCATTTTCATAAAACTTAAACAAAATAGGACCTATGCATGCATAAAAAGAGGTCTAGAAAGACATATCCTACTTTGGCCGTAGTGTTAACACTGTTATTTCTGGGTTGTGAGTTCGACTGTTTTTTTATTTTCTTCCTTTTGGTTTATTGGAATTTTTATAATTTTTCTGTAGAAAACATCTAGTGCTTTGATTATGAGAAGAAAGGAAAATGTCAGTTGTGGATAATCAGAGTTCCTAAAACATGTCATTGGTTACTTTTGTTGGGAAAAAAACAGAAGCTGGCTTTACCTTAGAGATCTTCTTTTGTTAATCCTTATGAAAAAATTAATCACTTTACTCTTTTGTTTTTAATGAATACTTTAAGGGCAAAGAATGAAGTTCTTCATAGCTAAAATTCGCTCCATCATGGGGCACTTTGTTTTGATTCTTTCTGTAAGTGTCCAGCCCTCCTATATTCTTCCCCACTTGACTGATAGGAAAGTAACCAAGAAAATGGGTGAGAGTTTCCTTTGCTCTCAGCCTCTAGATGAACAGCAGTAAGGAAATATCCTGAGAAGATCCTGAGCAAGAGTGTAAATGTGTAGGTAGGAAATGGAGTAGGAGGGATGTTATCACCTTAGGGAGGAAATGTCAGTGTTTCTTGATGACACATCTTATTTTTGAGTCCCATTTTGAGGCACCATACAATTTGAGAGGCCACATGGAGATAAAAGGGAAAATTTACAGACATACGGTTGAGTTGAGTTGAGTTTAGATATGATGGTTGGAGCCCTACCCCACTCCTATTCTGCCTGAGTAGCAGGTCTGAATAACCGCACAACCTGTGAAAGTTATGTGTATTTACTACAAGGTCTCATGTAAGTTCATTAACTGGGTGTAGTACTGTTCCCAAGCAGGCTGAGCTTAAGATACACAAGCGGAAAGTTAATGCTGTCTCGTGGCTTCTCGAATTTACACTCTCACCTTGTGTTTGTGAGGGTAAGCTGTGCACTGAGACTTATGTTCTTACTGTACCACCATCTACAAACTGGTACAAAGCCACTTCTTTCCTCTCTCCTTCTTTCCTCTGTCCTCCTTACAATTTCTTCTTCCAAAGCCATTTATCTTTTGATCCGTTTCTCTGTCTAGAGTAGCAAGAGGCATTGCACAATAACTCAGTCTCATTAGAACCCCAAAGAGACTGGAATTTGGAGAGGGGGTGGAAACTGAACCCCCTTCGTTTCTAGAAGCAAGTGCTCCCTGAGAGGCCTGGGATATGAACTGGTACTGTCTTTTCCAGTGGACTTCAAATTATATTTTAAGTTAAAAAGGAATTCCTACTATGAGCTGCAGTTTCTTCTTGGGGACTAGGGGTTGGGATTTGGTAGTTGAGAAATGTTCCTGAAAATTGCTGTGGCTATTCCAAAATCATGGCCCAGATCGAGGTATCATAGCCGGGAAAGGATATTTATTCAGCCTTTCCAACACCAGTCACCTTTTGTCTGCGCAGAGTGTGGTGTGGCATCTTCTGATTGGTCAATGGATAAAAACTGCTTGAGCATCGTGGAACCTGGGTCCTGCACAGGTGGAGCAGGCTCCATCAGAGCAAACCCTTGGAAGAGATTGTGTTTTGATTGTTTACAAAATGCTCCCATTGACACATACTCAAGAGTAAAAATAGCCATTGCACATCTGTGTAGGAGTACATAGTGCCTCTTTCTGAAGCAGGTCCCCAAATGAAACATGCTACCTGCTCTAACGTCTCACTACCTGTGCCCATAGTAGAGGACATTTGAAAGTGTCAGTGGTCAGACTTCCCCACCTCCATGCTTTTCAACTGCTAGTCTCATTTTTCTTTAATTCTGAACAATTAAAAGTGTTCTGACAAGGAGCTCCTTCCTTCAAATTTTTATTTCTTTAAATTCATCTTTGGTAGGGGTGCTAATGAATTATAGAATAAGGTGGAAGGAGAAAAGAAAGGCAAGTGGGCTCAGTGACCGTCTCTCAAGATTGCACAGCAAATGTGGTTTGGGTATATGTGTGACGATTATAACAGGCGCAGTGACGGGGCTGAGAAACCGATTCTGAACTTGAACTCCCAGATGCCTGAGAGGCGCTTACAGCCATCTTGGTACTTACCCACCAAAGTTGCTGCTTAGAACTCTTGATAGAACCTTGGGTATCTTTGTTACAAAAGGTGGAAGTAGTCTTTCGTGTTTGCTTTCTTTTTCTTTGTGCCGTTGTTTTATGTCAAGTGAGCTTTACCGTTTTCCCATTTATCTTTTCTATTCTATCTCCCACTATTGCTTGCCCCTGGTTGGTTGCATGTCCTGTGCTGTGAAGCCTGAAACCCAAAGCTTTATTGACTTTAAGGGAAGAAGAATGTCTTGGAGATCCCAGCCCTCGTGAAATAAATGAACACTAAATTTCCGCCTGTACTTAAACCAAACCTGATCTTGGTGTTAAGTAAATCTTTTGGTTAAGCTGTGAAGCACTTTAATCGGCCAACTTTGACACTACTGTATATTAGTGCTCAGGAGAACTCTAAGCATTGGTTGAATAGAGCAGTCCTGGGACATTTTTGTGTTCCTGATGTGCGAAATGTTGTACGATACATGAAGAAAATAACAAATTCTCCCCTGCGGACAGTCAACCAGTCATACTGTTGAGCTGCTCTTGCCAGTCCTGACACATTTGGCAATTCTCTCTGATGTCTTGTTCTTGTGTAATGTCTTCCCATTCTGTGAAGGTGTAGAATCTAAAGAGAGGGGCAGGCCTAGTGCTTTGACGTAATCAAGGCAAACCTGATCACAAACACTCAGTCCAGTTCTCTCACTGAAAGAAATCCTTTTGTATCTCCCAGTGCCATGTTTGCTTTTATTTCCTCAGTGAAATTCTTCTCCAGAACTGAAGCATGGCGCTGCTGAGATACCCTAATGACTTAAGAAGCAAATTTATTTTACAGAAGCTTTAAAAATTCTTATATTGCTTTATAGAAATTCCTCATTAAAATGTGTTTTACTTGGCTGTTGTGACAGGAAATCATTAAACACAAATGTCTATTTGGCAGAAATGAAGCATTAGCCATCATGTAAAATGACCTCAGTCAATATGCTGTCATTCCAATTAAATGCCTGCACTTAGGGACTTGCAAATTCCTCGTACATACTGTAGGTATAGCTTATCATTTGAATACTGTTGTTAAATCTAAATTTAATAATAATTTAAACAGGTTTAAAGTATTTTTCAACCATCAATAAGAAATGTATTTGCTAAGCAAATGATAGTATCAGAAGTGTCATTGCCTCTGTGGAAACCTGAGGTTACTGGAATGGTTGAAAAGAAGTTAAATGCATTATATGTCACCTAGGTACAATTCCTTTTTCTTCTCCTGGATGACTTCCAACTCCTCTTTTAACTTCTTCCCCCTTTGCACATGGCTTATATGTGCACGGATGACCTCTTTGCCAAATGAAGGCACCTCCAACCCCTAACCCGTTCTTCAGTGCTTGGTTACAGGGCTGTGCTATAGTGAGTACCAGTGCTCACCTTTCTCGTATTACTCTTGTAGAATATTATTCAGCTGTCTTGCATTTATTTACCCATCTCAGTATTTCTGGTAACTCCTCAGTGCTGACTTGACCTTATACTTCTCTTCTTAAAAAAAAAAAAAATTGAGGGGGGGGAGGGAGGGCTAGATGTCTTTACTAATAAGTAAAGACCAGCTTCCTCCTCTAGAATGTAGGCTTCATGACATTGTGTTCTGCAGTTCTTTGTATGAGGGACTCTTGATGGACTCTGAGCCGACCTTGTGGTCATTTAGCCAAATTACTTTCAATGTGATCGTGTTGCTGAATATTGGACACATTGGGTAGGGTTTGGCTTGGTGGGAAAATATGTCTGGGCTGGAAGTCAGAAGTACTCACTCCACCACTAATCAACATGTGTTCATGAATAAGTTTTTGGTTCTTGTCATTTGGCATCTGAAAAATGAGGAAGAATATTACTTGCCTTATCTGAAAGGCAATTTTGAGGCACTTACTTACAGATGTAAAAACACCTAAATGTTTAAAAGTGCAATACATATATAAAGTGAGTGGGTATTATGTGTAACTGTCATTCCCTGGAGATTCTCTACCACATGCCCCTGTTCTATATTTGTCCAAACACTTATTGCCACCTGAGGGTATCGTATTTTTTTATTTATTATCGGCTTCCTTCACTAGAATGTAAACTTCCCAGGGCAAAGCTCTTGTCTTCCTTGTTCACATTATAATGTCAGTGCCTTTGAGAGTGTCTAGCATGAAATAAGTGTACAATGTATGTTGAAAGAATGAGTGGAAATTAGTTTTTTATGGAGTCATAGAGCAGGTGATGCCTTTCTTGAATCCAAATGTGTTTTGTTTTGTAGATTCCTACTCTTAATATAATAAATAAGTGCAAAATTTTTTTTCCAGGAATACTGACCCACTTTTTAAAGTAGCCAAACCCTGTAATTTGCTAAAGGTCAATTTTCAGCTATTGATATTAGTTGCAAACCTGGGTTTTCCATTTTCTCTTTTAGTAGACATAAATAGCCCCTCAGCATCAAAACTAGGTTTAATTTTGTGACAAGCCAAGGGGAAATGGTGCCTTTGGAAATATTTGCTCTGAGGCTCAGATAACGATTTCATGTTAATTAAAAAACCCTTTATGAACTTACTTGAGCAGGCATTGGGTTTAACTTTGAGGATATAAACATGGATTTTTTCCTTCAACAGTATTTGTGTTCATTTGTTAATTCCTTTGTATAATAAATGGACACTGAGCACCACTCTGTGTTGGAAGCTGGGCATGCAGACATGAAGATGCACAGTCCCTGCCCTCAGAGTGCCCGGTGGAGATAGATGTATCCCCAGATGAGTGTGGGGTCAGTGATTTGAGTGCCACATGGAGCTCAGCGGGAGGAGTACTCACTGATGACAGGGGACCTGCATGGGAGGAAGGGCTTCCTGACACTGAGTTGTGAGGGCATAACTCCTCACTCTGGAGAAAGGATTTATTTGAAGAATCTTGAGTTCTGTGCAGTGCAATTACAGGGTTTTCCACTTTCCTGTGGAACAGTGCTCAGGGAAAATGTATGGTTTCCCAATTCTGAGCTAACTGGGGGATCTCTGTGTGAATCCCCAGTACCCTGGAGCTAATCCTGAAAGGTCACATTCAAGAAATACCTGTGACAAAAGGACCCAGAGGAGGACCCTCACTAGCCATATTCCTCAGTTAACAGCCTGGATTCTAAAACCAGTTCACATGAGTCTGTTTTCTCCTTCTCTAATATGCTGGCTAGGCAGAAGGTCTTTCATCTATAACTCACCTCAGGGATCTTACCTCAGTTCTTTTTCCTGAAGCCATATTCTTAAACCTCTGTTGTAATCGTCAGGGTGTACACAAATATTTAACCATCAATTATATGTCTAATTGGAACATTGGTCTAGTACACTCTATAGCACCAGACCTCACACCAGACCTCACAAAACAGAACAACAACAAAACTTGGAGAAGTTGCTTTTGGTCTGCAGATTTCTTGGTTTTAAAATGATTTTAAATATGATTTTACAATAGCTATAGAAGCTTGTGTGTATAGATCTTGCTTTAATTTAACTAATATGACAAATCATTGCTGTAATAATATCCACTAAATTACTCTACTCTTCCTTTCCCCAAAATTATTGTAGTCATAATTCATAAACATAGATATACTTTTTTCTTTCTATGTCTGTTTCTCGGGCAGGTCACCATCATTGCAGATGATAACTGCAGATTTTTATGCTGGTCAAGAGAAAGATTAACTTACTTTCTGGAATCAGAACCATTTCTATATGAAATATTCAGGTATCTTATAGGAAAAGACATTACAAATAAGCTCTACTCATTGAATGATCCCACCTTAAATGATAAAGTAAGTGCTTTTTCTGAGTGTGTTTATTTTGCTAAACAATTCTGTATAGTGAAGTATACCTCACTTTATGCAATACATATTTTTCTGAATTTTCATTTATGCATCATATGTTAAGTAAGGTGGGGATGCTTGTAATTTAGAGACCCTCCGAGGGAATCGTTTCTCAAGAGCATGGAACTATTTTGTAATTATTATATTTGTCATTACCTAGTGAGGTGTCTCTAAATGTCAGGGACCTCCATTTGTGGTGATGTGGTGCTGATCTCTGATAAAGAGTCTTTTAATCAATGTAAGGAAGATGGTACGCAGGGAGAGATGGGAGACGAGGAGGTCAGAAAGGTAGGGTAGCCGGGAGGCTGCAGACTGAAAAGCACTGGCAAACTCCAGTGAGCAGGAAGTTGGCATTTTAGCGCTGGTGTCCTCCAGTTTGGGACATCCTTCTTGTCAAAACCCCTTCCAGAAAGCCCGTAAGTGACGAGAGAGAGAGAGGGGAGGGAGCCTGTGGCGATTCAGTCAGGAATTTCAGAGCTGTATGGATCTTCTCCAGTTTGCAATGTGATCTTCATTTCCCCACATGTGCATAGAAGGAAATTAAAATGATGACAGAAGAGAAATTGCAGACCATTGTTTCTGTGATAAGTACTGTTCTCCAGGAACTGTGCACATGGGTGTGTGCTCTCTCAAAGTCCTCTTGTCTAGGCTGTTTGTCAAATCAGGGTGGTGCTTATTATTTTTCAGCTTAATAAATAAGCTACTGAGTGTATTAAATTTTTGTAACATGTGTAGTGATAGCTTATAATAAAAGTTATAGCTAACATTTATCGGCCACTTACTCTGTACCTGGTAGTTTTTTATTTCAAGGAAAAACTAAATGCTGTTTACAGGGAATATATGACCTAAGTCCCATAGATCTCAGAAATCTTAAACCTTTGCTTTGTAGAAGGCCAAAAAGTTGGAACACCAGCTCAGCCTGTGCACACAGATCTCCATGCTGGAAATGAGGAACAGTATCGCCAGCTCCAGTGACAGTGATGATGGTTTACACCAGTTTCTTCGGGGCACCTCCAGCATGTCCTCTCTCCGTAAGTTATCCCGGGCTGAGAGTCCTCCAGGATTCCGCCGGATGTCATTGGAAATAGACAAATGACAACCGTGATCAGAAAAATAGCTTGGCAAGGAACAATTGGGCAACCCCAAGGTATCAGCAAAAGTAACAATTTTTTCTCGCTTTTCTTTGTCCATGTTGCCCCTCAGCTAAAAATCCAACATGAGAGCTCTTATCCCTCAGTCCAAATCGCAGAAATTGTTGGCTTGTTTTGCCGCGTACTCTTCTTAAATACTGGTTCACTGGGATAATGTGAAAGAGTCCGTATGGTCTGCTGGGTATTTGGCTTTGTTACTTTCATGATTTTAGTTCAAGTGAAAGCCTAGACCCAGCAATGGGAATGAAAGAATGAGTAAATAAATAACACAAAATAACCATTGGTGAAGATTTTATTGGCACACTGTGGTGGTAAAGCAGGCAGGAAGTAGGAATTCTTGACTGTTGCTCTCTGGAGATGATACGTGTACAACCTCTATTGGAAATATGACCTGTCTATTTAAAATTTAATGCACACACCTTTTGACACAAAAATCTCCCTGCTAGAGTTTTACCCTATGTATATGCTCTTTGGCAAATGATACCGCATTAAGTGCTGTTCATTCCCGCATTTTTCCACAATTGTAAAATTCTGGGACAAACCTAAATATCCATCGGAAATAAAACTGGTAAGTAAATTTTTGGTAAAAAAGGAATGATGGGAAATAACTGCTGGGTGTTTTACTGCTGACTGGTTATCTCAGTGTGAGCCCCAAGAGTTAACAGATGACTGGGTGATGGAATGGTCCTGAAGATGAAGGAGACCACCCAACACCCCTGTGAGTTACCTCATTCACACACACACACCCACTGAGAGGCAAGTTTTCCAAGATTATCTATGGGTTAGATCATTTTAAAACATTTTAAGTAAGGAACATTTTAAGACACAGAAATTTGAAGATTAGTAAGTGAAATGAGAGAAACTAAATTATTTTAAGAATTATTCCAAGAACAATAGTATAAGAACTTTGAACAAATTCATTTGAAGTAGCAAAAAGTCAGTCAAATTCTCCCATTGCATAAAATAAAAAACTATTAATGTTTCCAATTGTATGTTAATCCGAAGTAACTTTTAAGGAAATACAGATACACATTCAACAATCCTAAATGTTTATGTAAATGATCTTGTAACTTTGGATGCTTTAGATAAATTGGATTAAGGATGTTAAGTATTACATAGTGTAGAGGTTGGAATTGGCAAAGCCATATAATGGGCGTAAACTTCCAAAGCAAAGTCTAGGCATAGAAATGTGTTGTGGACCCAAAGGAGATTTCAGGAGTAACACAAATGAGAAATGAGAGATGGCTGTATCTTATTCTAACATAACTTTTGAAAGTACAGACTGAGGCTGACCAAACTCTGCAGTCTGCTAACATATCAAATGCATTATCTTGTTGAAACAGTTTGGTGGTTAAAAAGCATTTTCAAGTGGGCCCATCTTAATTGCATGTATTGTAATTACTATACTAAGAAAGGTCAGCAGAAAGGGAATTAAACAATAAGTTTTTGTTTTTCTATAGTATTTTATTGTGTAAGCTAAGTCTTTGGGGAGTAAAATAACATTTTAGAAAAAAAAGTTTAGAGTATGTTGTTTAAATAGAATAAAAACACATTTTCTAGATTAACATTTGTACTGTTTGTGCCACCAGAAACCTATATTACCAGGTGGATTGATCACCCATGTTGTACATACAGGCCTGGATTCAAATCTTGCACTAATGATTATTAGTTGTGGAACTAGTAAGTGTGGGTTTGAGTGTGGGTATGTGTGAATTGTGCAACAAAGCCCTGCTCATTCCTAATTCCCTTTGACTAATCCCTGTTCTGAGTTTCTTGGCTTCACTTCCTGCCATTTAATGAAAAACATTGGTCCTTGAGTACCGCACTGATACTAATTATGAATTGTTTAATTCATCCTAGCATGTGATTCATCAAAGACTAGTTAGTTCTTAGGTTTTCGCTCAGAACTGAAGTCTGGGGTTTTTGTTTGTTTTGTTTTGTTTGCCAGAGCCATCAATATGCCGTCTACTTTCCCATAGTACAGATGACATTTCTTGTAAAATAGAAAATACAGAACCAGTCTCGTAAGACTATTAGGCTGAAATAACAAAACTTACCACTTTTGGAGCATGTGGGAAGTCTTAGTAAATGTGAGGTCCCTCAAACAAGTGAGCTCTTATCATTCTGGGTTTCTGACCGGCCCAGGGGGCCACTATGGCAGTTCCTCTCAGCAGCGGAGGCAGCTTCATGAATGCTAAGGAGAGAAGGGGACAAACATTTATGGACAGTAGTAGCTATTATTTTTCAGGAACTGTGGACATAATCACATGTAGTCTTTAATCCTGCATGGAGAGGTATGCTGGTTTTTGCTAGATGACACAGCACCAACAGCCTCCCGGATCTCTGGCTGTGACAAAGAGGCTGCTTTCTCGCGCATGTGCACACTGCGTGCTACTCCAGGCCCATGTTCCCCTCAGTCTGGGATGCCAAAGAGCAGCCCTTATTTGGGTGGCTGCCATTCGGGGCAGAGGAAAAGACAGTGATAGCAGAATTATGTGACGGCTCTGAAAGCTCCCACTTAGAAGTAGTGCATGCAGGGCGCCTGGGTGGCTCAGTTAAGTGTCTGCCTTGGGCTCAGGTCATGATCCCAGGGTCCTGGGATCAAGTTGTGTTGGGCTCCCTGCTTGGCGGGGAGCCTGTTTCTCCCTCTGCCTCTGCCCTGCCCCCTCCCACTTGTGCCCTCTCGCTCTGTCAAATAAATAAACAAAAACTTAAAAAATAAAGAAGTAGCCCGTGCCACTTCCTCTCACGCCCACTGGATCAGAGGGGTCACTTGGCCAGAACCACCATCAGCATGTGGATCTTTAATCCTCCTGCAGGGGCTGAGCAGGAAGGGGCCTGAGGAAGGAGGGAAAGCAAATATTTTGACAATAACATGGATCTACCTTAGTGAGTATTACTTTATTTTACACTTGAGAAAATTAGGAATATGGATGCTTATTCACTTGTTCCAGTTGCACAGGGAGAGGCTCTGGGATACAGAGCTAGGTGTCCTGTCCGATCCATGCTGTTTGACCATATTGCCTCTTGGTTTTAAAAAGAAAAGACAAAAAAATGTATATAACATTTGACTAGTACTTTATAGTTTACAAGTTACTTTCACACCCATTCCTGCATTTACACCTGACAAGTCTGTCAGCAAGGCACCTTCACTATTATTATTATTTACCCCATTGCGGATGAGTCCACCTGTACTCAGTACACAAATCACTTCTTTCTCCTACAACCTACGTCACTGGAGAAACTTACCACCCCCCCCCATTCCTCCATTATGACCAAGCAGTGCAGCAAATAGGTTTTCACAGACCTGTTGATTTCCATTTCAATGAAATTTTTTGCCTTATTCATTTTATGGGGGGGGGGGTGTTTCTACATAGGAACATTTAAATTATCCAGTAATGTCCTCTGGTCATTTAGCATTTGGTTAGCTTTCACTTCGCCTCATATGTCCTTCCAGAATTACAAGCAATGCTGCTCTGTAAGAATTATATTTATTTTATATATTTTCCTAATTAAACAAATTTTACATCATTCTAGTCATCAACTCAAATATAGAAGTAGATTTAAATATTAAAATCCATATCAACATTTCCCATAATTATTTTTCAAATCAGGATCAGCATGTGCCCATTCCATTTGGTTGAAAAGTCTCTGAATCTCTGGGCTCCCCTTCCATCTTCTCTTTCTCTCTCTCTCTGTGTTTTTGCATTTTTGTTTTGTTTTGTCTTGTTTTGTTTGTCCTGTAGGACCTTGATTCTTAAATGTAATTGTGAATATGAATCACTTGGAGATTTTATTACAGATTCTGATGCAGAAGACTGGGGTGGGCCCTGGCAGCGCCCTGATTAACAAGTGCCCCAGGGGTGCTGATGTGCCTGGCCCCTGAACCACATTCTGAATAGTGAGGAGTAGGCGTCCCTCCCTACGGTCTGGAATTTTGCTGAGTGCAGCCCCATGGTGGTTGCTTGTATTTCCCATTTACTGGTAGGTAGATCTCCAGGCTTGCCTAGATTCTGGTGAAGGCACGAAAAAAGATTGCTGCTGATCCCATTTCTTACGCTGTGCTCTATTTTTTACGTATATCACATGATGCTAAGTCCAGAGCAAGATCTCTACTCTTTTCTGCGCAGACTCTGTATTCCATGTCAAATTATCATCTGAAGACAGGAAAGTAAACTAATGAGATAGTCCGAGAAAAATTGCTTCCTTCCTATTTATTCAGTAGCCCATAATCCACTTAGCTCCTTTTCACTTCCCTGTGGCTTCATTTACTTGTTTCGTGTTTGGAAGCGTGATTGTCAGGCAGACGGACCAGAAAGGACGGGCAGTGTTGGGCATGTGGGAAGGATTGCATGCCCTTCTGTGGCTATAAGCTCTCCTCTCTGCTCCTGCCCCGAGGTGCTCATCAGACTGCCTTGCCATATCCTCCGCCTTATGAGGTTTAGCTCCCACGTGTGCTGTAGAAAACACACACGCATACAGATTGATCGGTCTTGGCAGGTGCATCACTGACAAGCAGTGCCGGGCACAGGCGTCGTCATGGCAACGGGAGGCCATATTCTGTTTCCTTAAAAGTTGTAGAACCTTATTTTAGTTAATTGGGGTTAAATAACCTATTGATGTGGTTGTTTGTTTTTTTAAATCCTGAGGTTTTATAGGCAATGCATTCTGTTGGAACTCGTCTTTGAAAGCTTTTGTTAGTTTAAACCGTGTATCTTTTTCAGAAATTATAATTAAAGTGTGCGATTTTTAAAGATACTATGAAATATTTAGAGTGAGGTTTTTTTACTGAGAAAAAAAAATCTTTTCAAATGTTTTTTGTTATTAATGTCAAGATGGCATTCTGGATGATCTCCTAATTTCATGTGACCTAGTTGCAC